ATTTTATTACACAATGATTTTTCATAGGACTGTATTTGTTGAAAAGCTACAGGGTAGCCTACGATGTTCCATCATGTCCTTAAACACTGTATATGTACCTTTGATGATTTATATTATATTTATTCAACAGTGTTAACGGCTAACTCCCTTCAATATCATATATATATATATATATTGATTTAATTTAATCACTCACTTATGTTTAAGACTTTTACTTCCATTACTTTTCCTCGTAGTCTCTTATTTTTATTTTACATTATATTACTCTCTCGCCTATATTTAAGGCTTTTACTCGCTTTATCCATCCCCAAACCCCTAAACTTTTCGTAACTATAAAAAAAAATGGAGAAAAAAATATTGTTTATGTGTAGCGCAATTATTCTTACTTTCATTCAGGGGTGGGGTTAGCCGTTCCATCCCCACTCCTAAACTTTTCGTAACTATAAAAAATGGAGAAAAAATATCGTTTATGTGTAGCGCCACCATTCGTACTTCCACATTTAGCCGTTTAGCCTCAAACAATTTCATGTGGTTACTATTATAGGCATACTTAAGTTGTGCCAGAGTATTCTTACCTTATTTATAATTGTATTTATTTATTTCTTATCTGTACTGAATGATTAAAGACGATGCCTGAAAACTGATTTTGAATAAATTTTGGCAATAACTTAACCATCTATTTCAACTGATACACATGGGGTTGATAATTTAAAGTTGGAGTAGTTCTTTAACAGTGAACTTCCTGTTACGCCCATACTCATATAGAAAAGAAATCATTGTAAGTGTTTGAAAGGAACTTTCATTAAATATAGAAATAATTTACTGCTGTCGACAAATTCTCCATTGAGAACATTCCTTAATTAATGATACCTAACCCTGTAGAGTACGCTTTCAAGAGATACTCAAGTTGAAGTCGTTATGAGATTGAATTCACCTTCCACATATCCGAGGTGACGTAGGCCTACTGGTCTGTTTTTCCTGTGATTATAATTATTCCCAACAAAGAGACTATTTCCTTTTTCGTGGTAATCAAAATTATTCCTCCTCTCACTTTGGAATGCTGGTCGGTTTACACTTTAGGCAAATTTTACTCCACTACCTTTGTTACAAAGATATTTTGACGTCAAATCTACTTGGCTGGTCCAGCCGTGTGAGTACTAGAAACTGAGATTTTGGCACACATCCACAGTTCTTTCTTTTTTTTCCCTACTTTCGTGAGTAAGCGTAAATCTTGAGTTATCCGCTCTTAAGTGTTGAATAGTGCATATATTAATGCATGTATTAATTCATGTCTGTACATCTCGTAAAAGAATTTTCGCAAAGGGCTAATTCACATATAAATTTCACATTGATCTACCTATCAGTGCTGCATTCAAGGGTGGGGTTAGCTGTTGCACCCCCACTCCCTAAAAGTGTCGTAACTATTAAAAAAAATGGGGGAAAAAATTATTTTCAGGTAGTATTAACCCCATCCATGGGCCTCCTCTATTTCGAATTCCTGGATCCGCCACTGAACATTTCATTGCGGATTACGTACGGTAATGTCCGCATGTGAAATCTGTATCATGACTTTAATAATTTGTACAGCAAAAGTAATAGAGGTACATTTGGTTACCGAAGTGTAAAATGCAAATATTAAGAACAAAGGATTTGATTTTTAGTTTTTGCAGCACTAAGCGCGACCCTGGAAAATTCTTAAAACAATGGTACCGCGCCGTTACAACGTTAATCTACACATATGCATATATATCATTGTTTTATCTTGCCACTACCGTTGCCTCGACGTTTATTGGATGCTTACTCACTGGTTGCTTTTATCTTTCAACGGCCAGTCAACGCAAGGGAATAATTTTACTAACCGTTTTCAAATCTGATTGGATAAATATTGTTACTACACCAGGAAACCGTTTGAGACGATACTTCCTTTGGGATGAGGGATCAAGAAAAGATTTTTAAACTATTGTTTTTGAGACAGCTATCACAAGGTTAGGAAAACAAATCAACGTATTGTGATCGTTTATCTAGGATATTTTGAAGTGTCACATGAGGGCATAATAATATTTACCATACTGTACTATAAATACTTGTCTATAAACGCGTGCGTACGCGTACATCCACGCGTCAGTGTATTTTCAACGAATTATTATCATGCACATAAACTTAATATGGATAACTCAATTGATTTCCATATGAAGTAACACAAATAATGATGTAATGATAATAAATATAATATAATAATTATAGTAATAAAATGCATGTTTAACGTTAAAGTCTCAACACCGGGAAATATGTCTTACCATTAAAAGTAGATGAGCTTTCATTCGAATAATAATATCATCAATAATAATAATATTATTCTCCTTATAAATAAGGATAATACTATTCACATTAATAATATGATATGACTTTCTCATTTTAATATATAGATGTTATATTTGTGTTAACACACAGTGAAAACATGTCAAGATCTTGCCTATTTTTAATCAGTTACCGGTATAACTCCTTAGGATGAATAGTGACCCTCCAATTTTTATTATATATCCTGAAAGCACATACGTTGTAGATATGATTTTGGCTGATCGGATATTGTGACGTCATCATATTGCCATCTGAATTCAAAAAATTGATTTTTTATCTATCAATTCACATAAACATAGACAACTTAAACTCCTCAAAAACAAAAGGTGTAGATGATAATATTTTAATTATGTTTTCATAACAAAAGCATTCACATGTTATTTTACTTGCATACGCAATAAAACGTGCTTTATTGTCCATTGTTTTAAATACTGACTTGTTTTTCGATTTACCACTTAAACATACTTAGTGTTTATCTGAGCAATAGATTTACCTTATCCTGTTTATACACAGTGACCGTAAAAAAAGTATACTGTAAACAACTCGCTTAAAGTGTGTTAGTTTGTGAAAAACAACCATGAATAGAGCTTTACAGATTAAGGATAAGAAGGAAAGGAGGAGAAGGAGTAAAATGTGTAGTAGAAGTAAAAGTAGTAACAGTATTAATAGTTGTACAAGAAAAAGAGGAGGAAGAACAAAACGAGAATTACAAGTAAAGGAGAAGAAAATTAAAAAGAAGAAGAGAAAAAAGAAGATGACAAAGAAGAAAAAGAAAAAGAATAAAAACAAAAAGAATAAAAACAAAAAGAATAAGAATAAAATGAAAAATAAAATAAAGAAGAGCAGACAAAAAAGGAGAAGAAGAATGAAGGAAAGAAAGAGAACAGGCCTTTAGACAGAAATTGACCGTTGACGTGTCATAACGTTCTTAAGTTTAAAAGTTAACTACCCAACTAATTCAAGAATGATTTCCGGTGACCTCTTTGGTGTACGTCAGTTTCCCCAAATCAAGATGGTACAACGGGAATCGGCGTTAAAGCTGACAGGATTTCATACCGGTACATCAGGGTCGTAAATTTCAAGATACAAATTGTAATAACAACTATGACATCCATCCTTCCTGTGTAGGCCTACATGACCAGTCCATTTATAGGTTATTATATGATTCATATTACGGGTTTACCCCGTACCTGCTTTCATCCTTGTTGTTGAAAAGAAACATCTATAGATCATCTTAAAATCAAACATCCACAGTTCGACAGACAGACATTTCTTTTGTATTAGGTTTACATAATACACGCGTGCATATTGCACACTAGCTGTAAGCTTTAAACGTGAAGAAATACCGTAACCTACGTATTTTAAATAAGCTTCCCGAATGTTTCAACCTTGTAAGAGCTTTATCGGTACATGGAAATTGGTCATACATATATATATATATATATATATATATATATATAAAGACAAAAAATGAGAGGTTCAACATATATATCATATATCTATATATATATATATATATATATATATATCTTGAATCATTTAAACTTATTATTTTGAATGGCTCTCTCAACGCACATGCATTGTTGCTTATTATGTAGGCCTATAATATCAAATTAGCACACACGGTAAACATACACCTAAAATTAAAAAAAAAAACTATAAATTGTGAAAATATTAGAAATAACGATTCAGTTATCATGAGTGTTTTTCATGTATTTCTATTACTCTTGATATTATTGCTAGACGTCTACAGCTAAACCTGCTAAAATTCATATTAGTTTGTGCTCCTGTACCGTATCATATGTTACCTCTGCTGTGTTTTTCATTAATACAGCTTAGGATATCGAAAATATTTTCATTCAAATTGAATTGACTGGTTGGTCGATTAATTGATTTGTCGACTGAAGAATTGATTAATTGATTATTGTTTAATTTATTGGTAGATTGAGCATAATATTCTGGATTCAATATTTACATAAAAAAAATAAATAAATAAATAAAACAGGAAACATTACTAACGTTTATTTATTTATTACTGTTACTCTTTTTCTTTCACCATAATAGATCGTTGACTATATAAATATATATGAAATAACAAACAAGGAAATCAAGCATAGACCAGCCGTTAGATAGTAGTATTGTCTCCTTATTTTGATATGAGATAAAAAAATATATAAAATAGGAGTAGAATAGGTGCTAGTTCCGTAAGTTCGTATGCATTAAAACGTCTTTAATTATTTATTATCGATTTATATGTGTATTTAATCCACAATTATTTTTATATAAATCAGGTGTAGGAGTCAAAACGTCTTTCATTATTTATTATCGATTTATTTATTCATTTTATCAAAAATATAAATCATTTGTAGGCGTAAAAAAAAGTAGTAATGGAAAAGCCTACATCTATGATATATGATGCTAAACAATACCAGTTTTTTGGTCTACGTCTTCCTGTTTGTTTTAGGGAAGCTAAGAATAAGGTTGTAATAAAAATGTCTATTCTGTACCAGTATAGATAAGGATAGAGCAATAATAAGGGACAATGCGGAGAGAACTATCAGGTAGGCCAGAGTTACGGAAATGACATCGAGTGCCAGCTCCGGAAACTAACATCGTTTGCGCCTCACAATGCATTTCCAGTCTGTCACTCATCGCGGACGGACGACAAAGCTGATGCTGTTGTTCATCTTTTCTGACTGTTCACTTGAATGTTGAAAGATAAAAGATGAACGTACTTGGATATGTTACCGTCTTAATGTATAGGATATTACCTCTTTTTATCATTTTTCAATCTGGTAAGTGTCTCAAAAGTGAACATTTTTAATTAGATATGATTATGTATAATTCGAGGAATAGGGCGTTTCCGTTGTTTATTAAGGTTTTATAAGTTTATTATTAGTGGAACCATTTCTGCAATAACGGAAAACGTATAACTTTCCCTATTTAAAAAAATAGTAGTTTTATTTATATTTCTTAAAGGAAAAAATCTGCAATATACACGAAAATAATATATCAGCTGCTGTACATGGGAGTTGGTTCCACAATGTATAGAACAAAGCACTCTGTTGTTGTAAAATACCATTTTCACATGAAATGTGAAAGATGTAGGCTTACGTTTAATTATAATGTTTTGTATCAAACGTAACGTCAAGATTCCTATTTTAAAAACATATATGGCAATGTCATTTGTAAATAAGCAAAAAGACTAAAAAGTATTTTAAAAAAAACAAACATAATAAGAAAAATTATCAACTTGTTGATCAATCAGCATCTCCTATAAGGACTTAGGAGGGCGCCATATTGAAACCAGGGGCCTACAATAACTTCAATATCACCATTATAATTCTACAATTTCCTTATTCATTTTGGTCTGTTGTACTTTTGTGTATATATTTTTTTTTACATATTAGTCGATCGACATAAGATTTTTATTATAGTTTTAAGTTTATTGCTATTTTGCTTAAACGATCGCCGTCGCAGTGTTCTGTTTTATCACGTGGGTGTCCGTTATGACCGAGTTTGAATTCATGTTTAGTATGGTCGTACTTTGTTGGGTTTCTGTTGAAGGGTATTATATTAAACAATTCTTTGTCTGGCTTATAGAACAGAAACAGTTTTTATGCACTTTCTTGAAGTATCGGTATGGTTATGAATTATAAGTACTATGCTTATATCATTCGGACTAAATGAATCTTTGAAATACTTCGATAGCTAAAATTTATTAATTTGTTATTGATTATGTATATGCTTACATGTATTACATTATATTTTGATATAAATGTATACATATTTATACTATTGGGAGTGCATCGGCATGCTAATAATGAAGTTAAAGAAAGTTTTGTATATATATATATATATATACAAGGTCAGAACTTGTATCGAAATGCCGCCACGAAAACAAGCACTACCTCCGAACAGCTACTCCGACGTCCGCAATAACCTAACTTCATACTACGTCCGCACAAGCAAGTCACATCACCACACAACGTTCACCTTTCATCAGTTGCCTGACGATCGCAATAGCGTGAAACTCCGAGTAGCAACATTCTGTTCCAGCGACCTCCAGTTCTATATATACAATTATATATAAATATATATATATATTCATATGGTAATTACACTATAAGTCTAGATGGTTCAGTAAGTATAATTAAATGTACGATATAATATATATTATATGTAAATACATATATATATATAAGTATATATATATATTATATATATATATATATATATATATATATATATATATCGTACATTTATTTAAACGAATAGATATTTTCTCGAATTTTCTTGATAAAAAACACAGCACATCTTAGAAATAACATAAAAGATTTAAAGAACGACATGTTTCATATGACCACCAACCCATCACCAGGAATTAACAGAAAAAACAAAATAAAACCACGCCCTTTTCTTATGGACTATATATAGATAATTAATATGCTGCATGTGGTACACTGGTTATTGATAAAGTTGAAAAGCTATAGTAAAATATATGCAAGGTGTGATATATATATATATATATATAGACAGTATACTATATATATATATAATATATATATATATATATACTGTATATATATATATATGCATACATATATACATATATATACATATATACATTATATATTATATATACATATATATATATACATATATATATATACATAATATAACACTTTAAAAGAAATAATAGCCTAAACGCATGAGATACAAACCTACAGAAAACAAAGAGTGCTCGCATCTGTTATAAATTACCATATTACCATAGTTACCTACACAATTAAATTGAAGATATATTCAAAATACCAATAGGGTAAATACACAATTTTTATATAAAACATCGGACACTGTATTAAAATATCAATAAAATAGGAAATCAAAGTACGAATTAATACTACAGAGATGGTTAGTTGCTACATAAATCTCGTAAAGTCCTTGTGTCCGAACTATTAAATTTTATATGACAAAAAAAAACGTTGTATGCCCATATATAGTCATGATATGACGTCATCATGACCGTACATTTCACTTTTTTTTGTCAAATAGCCTGGACAGGGCTTGAGAGAAGTCAAATATACAGAGGAAACTGGACTCACTTTTCAGGGTGCTGAAGACATAAACAGTATAAAATTAATAGACATTTCGTATGGACCTAATGAAAGAATTGCCGACGTACGTAGCTTTGACAATCGTTAATAACCGAGGGACTCAAACCATGGACCTATTAATAATAGGTCCATGCTCAAACATACTAGACCTATATCATAAATAGCCTTTTCCATCGCATCCAAACAGACAACTTGAAGTCTTGTGTATTCATTATTCAGTAACATTTTTTTTGTTACTTATCATGATATAAACGAAAGAAATTTTGAAAACTGCTAAATAAAATCGCAGCAGGATTATGATACCAGAAATATTATATAGGAGAAAAAAAAAAAACTTGTTCACATCTAAATAACAGATAAAAAGCAGATGTATTGGTTATTGTATGCTTTCAGGTAGCTTTGTCTTATCTAGACATATCGTTCTCATGCATTATGTGGTTGAGTTAATACGCTTAGTATAGACAATTGCACGGCGGATAGCACAATACGTATTTTTTTTCTGCGTAACTGACTGTAATACGCGTATTATTACGTAACCATTGCAATCAGAATGCGTTAAAGGCTACGTTCAGACCTGGAATAGATACACCAGGCGTATGAAACGCTGGACGTACGTTAATTCATGGCGTAACTAGCGAGACTGGGCGATTTACGTAGCGCTGGCGCAAGTTTTTGCGAGAAATTCGTATTCCAAGTTAAAAATCATTGATGCATGTCGTAACTCAGTGGCGTATGCTATTCTAGGGTACCGGTATGTGCAGAGAACAGTGAAATTTAACTTTTCCCTTGTCTGCGTGGATTAGCGTACGCCAGTGATTGCGCGTTAATACTGGGGCGTTCACGCCACTCGCCTTTCGTTACGCTTTTGTAACTCGTTGTGTCTGAACATAGCCATAACGAGAGCTACCTCGACACGTCAGATTGTGTGACAGCTACTTTAGGCTTTAGTTCATTGTAATTAACAATTTCACTGATGATAACAGCTTTTTCTTTCAGCTTTTTGTAAAACAGTAACTTTAATCAATTCCACGCCACTGTTCGGTAGCGGACTAACTCTTCTAAGGTGTCTGGACACTAGTGAATATTATACAGCTTCACAACTAGAAATCAACCGTTCTTACGATAATGGATATGGACTAGAATTACCAGCACCCTCAACGTTTGACCACACTGAAGGTGTCGGCAGTGTGATGGTACGCTGGGGTGGGGATCTGGGTGATAGTAGAGTTGGAGCATATGAGTGCTCGGCGATTGGTAGTGATATTCGAGTGCAGACTATCAAATTAACATCAAATGGTAAGACATTTAATAATAACCAGGTACCGTAAACAATACAAATATGTGATAAACACTGGTTTAATAGTTGAAGAGTGATACACAGCAACTCTAATTTAATAGGAATTATAACATCACATGTTGTTCATAGAGTACCTGGTACTCAATTTAATCATATCACATGTAGTTGTTGTCATTATAGGCCTAGCATTACATGTGCCTATTCGAGCACTCTTATTATTTACAGTATCTCTATAATATGTATAGACATCAATGTGAAGGGTGCACGTATGCTCTGAATTATATAGTTATATATCACATGTCATACTATTATTTATTTATTTATTTGTTTTATATATAGATATGATAATGTAATGTTATATTATTATATCACGTTCTGACGATTATGACACTACAATAGCACTTTACTATCATTTTTTGTACTTCTGCACATCACTCAGTTTAATCATATTATGACATGTTCTCTTAAATTTAGCATTACATGTACCTATTTGAGCACTCTTGTTATTTACATTATCTATTTGTTTATACATATAAATAAATAGATAAATAATAGTGACAGTGCTTGAATAGGAATATTAGGTTTATAATCGTATCAAAACATAGCGCTTCAAAGAAAAGTTGCATATTTTAAGTTGTATTAAAAGAAGCCTGGTGAGGAATCGAACCTACAACCTCTCGTTATCAAGATATAATGTTGATATAATTCTTTAAATATCAATAAAACGGATCTGACTGTAATTAAATTGAATTGTATAGATTATACATAATTTAGACTAAACATTGTCAATATATAATTGAAGACAGTTAAAATGAAGTTCTTCAACAAACCGTAACAATGATAGTGGTACTACTGAGTTTCGGTATAGTACTTCTAAACTTCCGGTACATGGATAATTGAGCCAATTGAAGGACGTTGATCTTTTCATCGAAGTTCAGCGGTCACAAGTCATAGGTTAGCAAAGTTTCAAAATAAATATAGTTAAATAAAAAAAATTAAAAAAAAAAAAATATATATATATATATATATATATAACCAACATTTTTAAAATTAATCAATAGTAAGAATGATGACTTTAATATTTTGAGTTATAAGAATGAAAAAATATCGTAGAAATTAATTAGATTGAGATAATTGAAAAAATGTAAATCATATAAGGAATAATTATATAATTATTGTGGGAAAATTTTCCCGCAGAAAAAATAAAAGGCGAACGAATTTAATTCCATAATATTCAAAAAAAAATAAAAATAAAAAAACCAAGGCAACACCATTAAATACATTGATATTTGAATTTTTATTTAATCTAGTACGTTTTAATACCAATAATTAATTCAAATTACATCTACTATAGTATTCCAATTATATAATACTAACAATTGTATACCGATTCACCTTTTTCCTGTCCATTACATTTCAATAATTTTATATTTTCATCTCTTACAGATATTTTTTATCTCTTACAGATAGAAGAAAGCTCCTTTGTCTTATGTTCATTTACAAAATTATTCATGGCTATGTTAACATTTTGGTTACTAGTACGGCAGCTTAGGGCCACATTTGGACTTAATGTGGACGTTCCGGACAAAAGCACCAATTTTTTTTTACATGCTCCTTATGGTCATAGCATTCAATTTTTGGTAGGAACCACCTCATCCGAGGTCATTATGGCGGCCATCTTGGATTTCAAAATGGTAGCCTTATAAAACCTGTTTATCTATATCTCCGCTTCTAAATCACTTTGAATTATAATTATAATGTCTAAGAGTATGTTTATATGATCGAGGAATGCCAATATCATATTTGACCTGGTCAGATTGCCACAAATAGGTCATTTAAGGTCA